AGAGCGCGCGCGCGCACACACACACACACACACACACACATGTCTGGTTTGCTATCCTCATGGGGACTCTCCATAGGCGTAATGGTTTTTCTACTGTACAGACCGTATATTATATCGCCCTACACCAACCCTAACCCTAAACTTACCCCTCACAGGAAACTTTCTGCATTTTTAGATTTTCAAAAAACTTCATTCTGTGTGATTTATAAGCTTGTTTACCCGTGGGGACCTCAATTTAGGTCCCCACCGTGACATGAGTCCCCATGAGTCTGTGTGTATTCAGGTTTAAGTCCCCACCAGAATAGAAAAACAGACACACACACACACACACACACACACCACCTTACAGCCTGGACTGGATCCACCTGCCCGGGCTAAGCTGTCCATGCCGATGCAGGTACAGACAGTCCCGGGGAAGGGAGGATTTCACCAGTGGTTACTCAAAAATGTCACCTTTCCTGTTTCAGCAGCTCTGGTTGTTTGTGCCGACACGCAAAAGGCGCGGCTGCTCTTCTCACACACACATTAGTAACTGGAAGTCCGACTCATTTAAGTGAATCGGTTCTTTCGAGCGTTCAGCGGTTGTCAAGGACCACGTGATAACGTGAAAACATCTCGCTGTGGGAATATATTACATGCTCTAAATAGTTCAGTATAGCCATTAATAGGCACCTGTTGCGGTTTATTACTGTTTTCTATTAATGTGGATGTTTACTGTGATTTAATGTGTCTCAGTTAAATTGTAACCATGATTTAGCTAATAAAAACAAAGTCAGTTAGAAACTAAATGTAATTTGTATTTGCATTATAAACAATACTAAAATTAACTTGCATCTCAAATTAAATATTTTTAGTAACCTATGTTAAAAATGTAATTAAGTAAATCCAACATTTGAGTAAGTTTAATTTTTAATATTTATGCTATTCGGTTTTTAAAGTAGCTTACTTTTAAGCCTCGTCAGTGAAATCCTTCACTCAACTGATTCATTGAACAAATCTAACTCAAAGAACATTCACGATTCGGACAATAACGCACACACATTAAACTAGACTCAAGTCTTGTGGTCAGGTGAGGCACGCACAGCTACTCACAGTTAGAGAAGATAAAACAAACAACAAAAAGATCCTGTCATGATCAAAACAATATTTCACAGCAATATGTATACGCACACGTTTTACGGTGATGTTTACCAATCAAATATTTATATCAATAAACAAAATTATATTCAGACGAAGCGCACTTGTCAACGGGTAAAACAACGTGCTCAGTACCGTCAGAAAATGAGGATTTGTGTAAATAAAATGAAACCTAATGGAAAAATTAAGAGTAGACGTTAAGGTATGAAAGTGACGACACAAAACAAAGATATTGTGAAGATGCAATGAGGAAGTGCTATGTTATTGCTCCAACTCGGTCAGAGTGTCTGAGAAACTTAACGTTAACCCTAAAATCTCTTAAACAGCCTGTAAATGTAAATTTGACACGGAATGGCTACTGATAATATACTGAACGCTCGTCAGCAACACGTACAAATAAAAACAAGTTATTATTTCAACTCCAATGTCAAGTTCTGTACACGCACTGGAGAGACACAAACCACGTGAAAAGTTATTACATTGATTACGCGTCATCGGTTACTGATCACTCGTACTCTCATTCTCACACTCCCACATGATCCATATTCGGTTCTCCATAAATATGTTGCGTTTTAGCGTTTGAATGTGGATAAAGTTGTCTTAAATCATGCTTACCTTGCATTGAGCTCAGGTGTTGCGGTCTGCTGCCGAGTTTACGTCTGGACATAGTGAGAGAAGATCCTCTAAAACTACACCAGAACTAAGCGGACACTATAAATCTCATAAAACGGCAGTGATGCGGGACTTGACTGTCGTTCAGTGCCGTGCCCGTCAGTGTTCAAGTTCACACTGTCTGCTGGCCCTACAGGAGGAGGAGGAGGAGGGCATGAGCAACGCCTCCAGCCCGCCCATCATCATCATCATCCTCCTCATCCCTCTGTCTTATCATAACTGACCTCGTTAAACAACTCTGCTTAGGCAACAGCATCAGGGGCACTTTAAATGATCCAAACTCTTTCTATTCCTTATCTATCTGTCGTATAGGAGAATTATGTAAATAGTCGCGTTGATGGCGCGCAGCTGCTGCTCTGACACCAATAAAATGTGCTGGTTAAGGATGTGGGTGAAGAGGAAGTGGCTTTATCGAGGTCGACTGAGACAGGTGTTTGTTTTGCTGTCCGGCTTATTTCGAAACCCAAAGTAACTGTCGCTTTACTTTCAGACACTTGCTTCTCTTTTGTGGATGGTGGAGGCAGATACAGCCACGCGGGGACTGCTGAAATGTGTCTTCGTGTATAAAGTGGTCAAATGCCCATTCAAAATAACAGCAATTCGAGTCGAATCGCATGTTATTTCTAATGGTGAAGCGCGCCATCTGGCGGTTACAATAGGTAACGGTTGTTTTCTACGTACATGAGCAAAAAAACACTGAAGACAAGGTTATTTTTCATCAACGATTAGCTTTTTATTTCAATGTCAAAATCTGTGATCACTGATGATTGTTTCTACTACAAGAAAAACCACCAGATATTTACATTGCCGAGTGAAAAATATTATGCCATTTAGAATCTACATTTTCTGTGAAAGAAATTTCATCACTCTCAAATGAAGGTATTATATACAATGATGAGGTAAAATGGGTAGATTCACCGTTTAAAGAGACGGATAACCTCAAAACCACAAGTCTTTTCCCTCACTGATCTTGTTTTTCTTCCATAGAACACAAAAGGAGACATTAGGCAGAATTACGTGGTTCATGAAAGTCAGTCACATGTGTTTGGAACAACATGAGGGTGAGTAAATGACAGAATTAAGTGTTTTTTTTAGGTGAACTCTCTCTTTAATGGGGGTAAGAGACACGGGAAAGAATACGGTTCATCCCAATCTTATGTCACAAAATTCAACACAGACTGACTCAAAATAATCTGCAAAGTTTATTAGAATCCTAGCAGCTCAAAGCATTTCTGGCAACCCTGCTGTGTAATATCAAGAATGGGAGGCGAAATGTGGTTTCAGAGCATGATGGTGTTTAATTTTCACATTTTAGAAATGACGTTGTTTCCATTGCATCCTTTAGAAGATGTAAAAGAGAAGTTGAAGTGAGTGAAATTAATTTTATTGATATTGTTTTCCCCAAAATTCTATGTAAACTCTTGCCATCATGGTCACCATTCACTCCTAAAACATCTGTTTGACATCTTGTGGCCTGACTGTTTTATCAGCAGAAGCTTCAGTACCGGTAATGAGGACTCCGTGATCTTGAGCGTGATCTCCTATTGAGGAAGACAGTATAAATGGTTGAAATGAGCCTGAACAACAGTACATTTAGATGAAATGGACAAGTGTGGCCGGTCCAGACTGGTTTCAGCATACCTTCTGGATGAGCTGTAGTCTCGACCTGTGGGGTGTTCAAGATTTATGATTAGAATCTTCTTCATGAGTTAGATTTTGCATACGTCTTAATTGTTACCACCCTGTATATCTACAGTATCCTTCACTACCAAGAATAAAGCACAATTCAATCCACAAAATGAGTCTTTCATAATGTGGATAACAACATGACTATCACTATACGAAGACGGGATTCTTTGGTGGGAGGCTCTTACAGCCCAAATAAACTCACCGTATTTGGCATTGGGGGAGGGCGAGTGACTCTGACGACCATACAGCCTCTCCCATTCATCTCTCTCTTTTTCCCGCCGTTCCCGCTCCCTACAAGACCAAACAATGACCAAACTGTATCCTCTCCTTTACAAACTGAGAGGACAGTTCCCACAACATGAACATGCTGCACGTTATTATAATTATTCTCAATTTAAAAACAGTTGTAAGAAAAAATTTTTTTTTTTTTTTGTGGAAACGGTAATGCATTTTTTTTTAAGATTCAAAAGTGACAATAAACAAAAATTTTAAGTGTTAATTACATATACATATATATATATATACCTGACCCCAAACTTTTGAATGGTAATGTATTAAAGACAGATTTTTTTATTTTGAAATTTGCTAACGATTACATTTATCAGTGTTATAAAATCACTTGAGCAATAGTTGAGCAATGTCAAAGAACCGACAGAAATGAGCATGAAAAATTAAATATCCAATTTCGACTGATAAATATTTAAAAAATAAATAAATAATGCTGATATGGTACCGATATACTGTGCATGCCTAGCATAAATATGGAATAAGAAGATGGTTTGTGGATGCCTGAAATAGTAACTCACATTGCTTGTTTAGAGCCTTCTGCATTCGGAGTCTGAGCTTCTCTTGTGGCGTCATTTTGGGCTGCAATGGACACAATGACTTTAGAATAAGTAGGACAGAAGTTTATGCAAAGAATAGCAGCTGACAACAAGGAATCTATTTTACTAGCTTAAACTTGTGTCATGTCATGCAGAAGGACGAGAGTGTTTTAAACTACATACAGATCATTTATATGCTGCATGTTGAACAGCAGCAGATGGTCCGGTTTTAAAGAAATGCCTGTGATATTTACGTTATAGATGCATTTTAGGTATATGGCAAAGTGTGAACAGACAAATGAAGGCAGCCATTTAGAACAGTACAGCGCTATGTCCACTCTTCTTCTCACCAGGTCAGGTACGTCCATGGAACAGTTACGAAATGGCAGCTACTGTAGCCATTTCAGAAGGTGCTGCCTTGATTTTAAACTACATACAGATAATTTATATGCTGCATGTTGAACAGCAGCAGACGGTCCTGTTTCAAAGAAATGCCTGTGATGTTTAAGTAATAGATGTATTTGTAGGGATATGGCAAAGTGCAAAGTGTGAACAGACAAATGGAGGCAGCCAGCGCTATGTCGACTCTTCTTCTCACCAGGTCAGGTACGTCAACTCGATGGAACAGTTACAAAATGGCAGCTACTGTAGCCATTTCAGAAGGTGCTGCCTTGAAGCTGTTCAACCTTTACACACAAGGACAATCTGTATTGACTTATGCAGGTGTGTTTGTGTGTGTGAGTGAGTGAAGTTGCTCTGCCTGTCTTAACAAGCCCAGTGCAGAAGCAACACCTGAGCTGTTTAACTGCTGAGCAAACCTGCTAAGAACCTTTATTCCTTTGTAGTTTCCCTTTCATCAGCTCACGTTCATTCACAGGTGTCTATCAACAACCCATCATTCAGATAATACTTAGATAAATAAGAAGTGCATGTATCATTTCCTTAAATAGAAAACAAATCTATAGCAGTTCCAAAGAAGAGCACACAGAAATATCTGGGTCCTTTAGAGATAGAGTTGGTCACTCCCTGCCTCATTCTTATAAAAAAAAAAAGAAAAAAAAAAAGGGTGAGTTGGGTAAGTTCAGATATGGCTGCTCTTCAAAAGACCACTGCATTCTGCAAACAGAGGGCAGCTGATCACCAAGTGTACAGCCAATCAAAAACGCATCTAAAATGAGAACAAGGGCTCTCTGAAGAGCCAAGAGATGAGCAG